GTGAGTTACGTGAGAAGTTCCACCCTTGTTCTATCCCTAAAGGTTAACGGTGTCGTAGTCAGGGCCTCTCTTTATTCCTTGGAGTGATCAACATGCAACTTCTCCCTCTGATATCCATACATTATCCAGTAAACAGGTAATGAGAATACTCAAAGTTATCAGATAGTTGTTATGTTGATCTTACACCAAATTCTCGTTACTCTTTCACAAGGAAATGTGTAGCAGCTAGAAGGGAGAATTAACAATCAGATCTGGAGTTAAAGGGTTAACGAGCCCAAAAGTTACACGCAATGATTTCTATAAATTTATTTTTAAAACCTGACTATATTCTTCAAACTACGTAGTATGGCGTCCATTGCTTATGGTGAGTTTCTTGCTCGTGTTTCCACAGATTTTATAGAACAGAGAGCTTTACGAGTCCATCGAGCAACTATCCTCCTTACCAATGATCATGAACACTGCGAGAAACTGAAAGAAATGAAGGCTTCAGGAAATGGAGCGGATTTTAGAACGCTCCGAACCATTTTGCTGCTGTCCAGGAACAAAATCTAAATGGATTGGAAAAATATTTTGAAAAAATTGTTTGAGACTAAGGTTCATCGCTGTGCGGTGATATGTAAAAGAGCATTATAAACGAAAGGAATTGTCTTGTCTTTTGCTTTTCTTCACTGAACTGAATGATGAGTGGCTAACGCAAATGTTCAGCGTTGTCGTTTCGCCCCCGTGTCCCTGACCGAGGTATCACAAGAAGTCAATGGGAAATAAGCCTACGAGCAGGCCACGAACCCGTGTTTCTTCTCCTCGAGTAAGTTAAAGGCCGTAAACAAGGCGAGATTGCGGAATTCTGCGAGGGATCTGGCGCTAATAGTTATCTTTGCTTTACCCCTCGTAGACCTCTTGCTGGTTCGCGTTTCTCAAGGTCTCCAAATTACTCGAGGAAGGAACGCTCCCGCCGAAGCGCTAGTAATGGAGGCCTGTCATCTGGATAATGAGAAATCTATGAGAATAAAATGTGAACTTCCATCAGTGCAGGAAAACCGAAGCTACTGGGAAAGTCGCGAGGGGTCTGAGAAATGTGAAAACCCTTGCCAACAATTCCTTTTCTTTTACACTTCCAGAGGTGTGGAAGTGTGGAAAAAACTGACAAACTATGGTGTACTTTCTCCGAATCACGAAACCAATGTCACTCGATATCAAGTTATTAACTACCGATAGTTATAAAACTTATAACTCGCGATCGCAACTTTTTAACTTACGTTTGTTAGTTACAACACCTTTGCATACAACTGAGCACGATGAAGTTCAGGAGGAGGACATCAAGAACGCTACTAAATTAGAGAATCTCAAGAGGGCAGGGAAACAAACTTTTCTCTGAAGATGA